GAAGTGGATGTGAAACCAGTCTATTGTGTGTGGAATACTGCAGACTACAGTCAACTTCGCTAATAACAACTGCAGATATAACGACAATTCGCGAATAACGACATAATTTTCATGCCCAGAGCAAAGTCCCATCCAACTGTGACACATATAATGAGACTTCGGGTATAACGACACTTCGCGAATAAGGACACTTTTCTGATGCCCCGCCGAGTGTCGTTATAAGCGAAGTTGACTGTACTTCCAGTACTGCATGGTGCCGCAGAAGGTAGCGCCGAATAACGAACAAAGCATAGTGCACCATTCTATATGCTGTGACTCCACTGCGCGATAGCGTGCGGGTTTGTGCGTGTGTGTGTGTGTGCGCGCGTGCGCGCATGTGAGTATTCTGTGTTGTGTGTGTGTTCACGAATCGGCAGCCTGTCGCTACCACCTGTCGCCAGTATACTGCTGTGGCATGTGAATGTCAACAATACATGGTGCAAGGCGTATTCATTCACCCGCGTTCCTTTTCGATATTGATATTTTTAATTATTGCATAAACATGAGCAGTGGGGTAAATTGATCGAGTACACAAGGAGACCCCCCCCCCCCCTCCCACACACACGCACACACACACACACACACACACACGCACACACACACACACACACACAGGCACGCGCAAGCACACACATACACACAGACGCGGGCACGCGCACACACGCGCACACACACACACACACACACACACACACACACACACACACACACACACACACACACACGCACACATACGAACACACGACACGAATACCAACCATTGCAAATCCCGAGAGCAGCGCCGACGTATTGCTGGACTGTTTCAGCTTGGCTCTACTCAACAGCAGATCATTCCATTCCTCTTGTACTTTACTGGTGTGCCCGATACCACGTTTCCGCGCCGCTGTGTCTGTGACCCCCATGTGACTATGCGCACCGGCATCGTCCACGTCCGCCATTACCACACGCTAGCTCGCTCGCTAATTCTGCAAGTGCAAGAAGCAGCAAGCTATTCAATATGAAAATAAGCTAAAGACGGTGACAGCGCTCCGGACTCCTGCGCGGCTCGTGTCGCAGTGTCAGTGCTCCCATCAAGGAGCGAGCTTGAAGTGTAGTGCCGCAGGTGGACTTGTTACGGCTAACCGTGTTTCAATCCAGGAGACTCAAATGAAATAGAAGGCAAATTCGCAATGTGCACGTATTCTGATTTTGTGTGAATGATTCCTCGTTCAATGAACTACAAATAGTACAATACAAGTGCTGTCTTCAGACATCATCGATTCATCATGTCGATGTCCCGTCAAACAATCACCGGTGCACCCAAAATAAAAAATTATAAAAAATAAATTTAATGTTTAGAACAAGAAAAAATAATTATTAATTTTAGATGTTTTTCGGTCTTTATCGCTTTTTTTTACATGCAGCGCAAACGTTGCGCGCGTGCCTGGCCTGCATGGCCACTTGAATATTTATTTTACATGTACATAATTATATGTACCGTATTTCCGCAAATAAAAGGCCGTCCTCGTATACAACGCCTTCCTCGCATACAAGGCCGGGGCAGGGGGCGATTGAAAAAATAAAAGACCGTCTCTGATTAGAAGACCGGGCCTACTAAATGAGTCTTTGTTCTTGTGTTAAAAATAGAAGACCGTGCTCAAACTGTGGGAAAAAATAGAAGACCGTGCTCAAACTGTGTAGAAGAAAATGGAAGAACGGGGGGGGGTAAAAACTGTGTGGCGAGAAATAGAAGACCGGGGTCAAACTGGGTTGAAAGAATAAAAGACCGTCCTCGAATACAAGACCGTCATCGATTATAAGGCCGGGTTAGGACGAGGTTGAAAAAATAGTAGACCGGCCTACTATTTGTGGAAATACGGTATATTGCACTACAATAATTTTCTATGTACTAACACTACAGACGTCCGCGCACCGAGTTAGTCTACACTTCTCTACAGTCCGAGGAGGTATTTTTTTTACGAACTCGTAACCAGTAGACTATAGTACGCCAGTAGGACTAGGAGCTCACAAATAGCTGTGTCTGAATAAGTTGTGGCTGCTGAAGACGATAAAAGTATCAGGAAGTCTGTTAGTCAGTTGTCCGTTTGTTAGATATGGCGATCTTCCGCTAGCTGCATACGGAAACTGTACATGTACTCAAACCCAGTCATTCTAGAGTATAGTGGGTTTCTGCATACAGAGTCCGTTTTAGACTCCAGTTGGTGGCAGCCATGCAGGTTACGACTCCCTGGTGCCGTGGTGGCAATAAATTATCACTCAGCTGAATTCTTGACGTTCGCTTTGAGGTTACCCCTGACGGCACCATTAGGCATTACACCCCGCCTGTAGTATACACAGTGTAGAGGGCCCCTAGGCCTAGTGCCAGTGGCGTCAACGCGGACTTTAATTCCCAAGTGCCTCGCTCCGTCACGTACGCGGTTGGTATTACTTGGTAAGCAGCACTTCGCCAGAGCTCGAAAGAATTCGTCCTCACCGGCACAAGCCTGTGAGAGTCTCGGTATGACGAAGACATTGCTGAGAAGCAACAACTATCCCGAGGCAATCATCGAAGAGATTGCTCAGAAAAGTTGCCACACCGCCCAACGACGCGAGTCATACATGAAAAAAGATGCGGCTATACTGAAGCTACCATTTCGCTCAGAAGACATTCAGCGGAAGGCGAAGTATTTAGTCGAGCGCTCAGGGTTCCCGGTCAATGTTGTGTCTGAACACACTCACACTCTCAACCTCAAAGATGCCCTCGTGAAGTCAGCGCTGAATCCATCTAAGTGCAGCGTGACACAAGAACGAGTGAGGCGCCAAGAACAGCAGAGGCGCGGAAGACCGCTCAACCCCTGCATCTCATGCTCCTCTGGTTTGCCGAGCTGCATGTGTTCTTCCCCCGGCCGCGATGATTATCTACATGTACATGTATAGTCGACAGTCTGTCAGTCGCAGATATAGCGCCCGCCTGGCGTGGCATTCACTCCCTGATCCGAGATCGGATTTCATTATCATTGAGCAGCACTGAGTCTGTTGATCGGATTTCATTATCATTGAGCAGCACTGAGTCTGTTGATCTTTACGTCTAGCCAGCCAACAGTAGGTAAACTCAGTTTTTTAAACGTAAAGATCAACACATGTAAAAACAAGCCTCTTGGACGGGCAAAGCAAATGTGCTTACACAATATTATGACAGAAAATCTCGATACCAAAAAAATGAACAAAACGTCAAGAATCTGAAGAAAGAAAAAACTCCATCCAATTCTTTGTTGCCATAACGGAAACTGAAACCCAACACAACTCTGAGAAGATGGCAGTTGGCGGTCACGCTGCAACAAAATCACCAAACGTAAGCACGAACAATGTTGAAACATGGTTGCAGGAGACAAACTGCAAGTAAGCTCCTCCTTGTTTCATGCTGTCAATCTAAAAATTGCGTGAACTACAACAAGGTTTATCTAATACTGGTTTACCAGTTTTGGATTATTTCATAATATCATATGTAAGCGCATGTACGACAGTAACATAACTTTCCACACTTTTAGTTATCGCCAGTTACATGTACAATGCCATGTAATCACCTGATCCACACAACTGGCGAAGCCATGTGGGTTTATCCCTAATCAGGCCAATGCACATCTGGTCGTCTACAACACACGGAGCACATCGGAATTGGAAGGCCAAGAAAGTAATGTGGACACCCTAAACGTTTAGCATAAGTTGCCTACCATATTGTTGCTCAGACTAACCCTCCCCCTAGCTCTCCTCGACCAACCTGTCACCCCTGATACTCGCTTGACTCCTCTGTCAGATACTTCTTCTTTCGTAATTTTCTAAGTCCTGTCCTCTCTTTTCTAAATACGGCTTATCCATTCGCCTTTATATCATTGGGCCTAGATCCCGTTTATTGTGCGAATTAAAATAAACCAACCAACCCTACACAGTACGGTACTGCATGCCTTTGCTGGGGTAGCCAGTAGACAGCACGCTGCTTTGATAGAAGAAGACATTTTGTGTTGATCTGATAGATGCACTGGTACCTTGAAGTGAAATTGGAGTTACTTTACCAACCAGCCTCGGGAAACTGAGTACTGGGAGACGACCCCAGAGCCAACAAATTGCAACAACCTCAGCCATAAAAGCTGTATCGACACTGAAATGGGTATTCTTGTAGTAGTAGTAGTTGTTGTTGTTACTTTATTTTACTTCACCAGAATTACAGGCAGTAGAATGCCTTCTCACTAGACCAGGTCTTGTTCTCACAAGTGAAGAAGAATAGTTGCATGATGAGAGAATTATGATATCAAAATATGCTTGTTGAGAGTCATGCATGGGCAAGGCAGGATTTGGACTAGGATCCTGAGAGGACACGAAAATCTGTTCAGGCAGAATCTGTGAAGAAGACTTAGTAAGCACAACATCGGAGAACTAGTTGAGGAGAGAGATAAGGTCATAGCCAGACAGCATCGCTTGAAACGTGTGGCGTACGTCGCAAGCGCGCATATCAGCAAGGAGAGGGGAGTTCCATGTGGTACTGCCAACAAAGACGAAAGAGCTACGGCCTGAGGGGCCAGGTAGGAACGGCACTCTGAGCAGCTGGCTGACCTGACCACGTGTGACACATCTTCTGTCCACGTCCGTGGCAATGAGGGAGTAGTAGGATGTGAACAGTAAGCTGGCTCTGCCATGAAAGCAGCGGGAGACGAAGAGAAGCAGACGTTGAACATACAACTGGTGGAGCTGAGACATTGGAAGTCTGACAAATAGGGGAACAGTGGGGGTCTTTCCGGGAAGTTGGAAGATGGCTCGTATGCCAGGCTTGGCAATGCGTATCAGTCAATGTAGCGGCAGTTGAGATAGAGCGGGAAAGAAACAGTTTGAGGCATAGCAGAGAACAGACTGGATTACACTCATGTACCAGGCACGACGCCCCGGGGCATTGAGTGAAAAGCAAAAGTAGGAATTGGCCTTAACTTCAGTACAGTTGGTCAGTACAGTTGGTCTGTACAGTTGGTCAGTGTCGTTGACTGTTATTGCATGAGCCGATTGTAAAGCAACTGGTTGTGTTATTGGAAATTATAGCGTAACTTCTAGCTCCTTGGTCCTCATTCCTTGCTATAATAATTATACTCTAGACTAGTATAGTACTTCAGTACTGTACTTCAGTAATCTATTAATAGTATTAGGAAAGAGTTTCCTCCCACACTGGAGCTCGCGCTATTCCGTTGAACCTTGACTGACTCACGACTGCAATCCAGAGCACACGAGAAGTCCATCGAACTTACGATTCAGCAAATCTGCAAGACAGCACCACTCCCTGCTCAAAACAGTCCGTGCGCCAAGCCCTTGAGTAGCCTGTTTTTTTATTTGCAACCGCGGGAAATATCGAGGTGCAAAAAGATGACGACGACACAATTGTTTTGTTGGTATTTTGCAACCTTATTTGGACCTGAACTGGCGTGTGCTGGAGGAATCCTTGTTCATAACTTGGTTTGCTGCTGAGGTATGTCCCTTTGGCACCTATGGCACTTTAGCTGAGGTTCGTTGCGCCCAACTGTAGACCATGAAGACTTGTGTTTGCACTACATATTTTTTCGTCGTAATCGTACCATCAACTTGCTTGTCGTCCTGGAGTGGATAGCATAATCGGACACTCTCGGCTTATGCTCTAAGCGAAAGGTAGATATATTTGGGTTTGGATTCCCAAAGCACATCCCAATCAGGCTATGCAAAATGGAGCGGCCCACAATTTCGTGGAGGTATGTCGAATTGTGTGGAATTTTGCACTAAAGTAATTGTGCTTGAACAAGTACGTTTTGGCTGCTTATTTTCCTTGGGCATCTCGACATTGCAAACTAGTCCCCTTGCTGTTGTGCCTTCGACATCTAAACGGAATTTCTATGTAAGTCGTGTGGTTGGGGTCCAGATTTTAATCAAAATCCAGCAGTATTCCTGGCTGCTAATCTAGTTTGCTAAAGTTCTGGCTGAAGGTAGTCTGTTGAACAGTTTCTTTTGTATGTACCATGGTAGGACGTTCATTACATAATTATAGATGGAGTACATAGTCAAAGAAACTTGTTATGTAGTTTAGCACAACTGCACAGAAGTGCAGGGCCTGAAAGAAAAGCAAGAGCTGGAGACTCAGCGTCCGAAGCATATGCGAATGCATTGTGAGAGCATGTGTCTTCGAATTCAGCATCACACACATATGCACACTCACACACACACATATGCACACTCACACTCACACACACGCGCGCGCGCACACACACACACACACACACCACACACACGCACGCGCGCACATCTGGCGCTGGTTGGGTGTTGCATACTGAACATTCTGTACTTGCAGCCTTATCTTGATCATGTGTGATAGTTGTGTCACAGGTTTTTGCCGTATTTTCTGGATTCTCTGTGCTTTCTGTAGATGTCTTGTGCGCTCCTCATCAACAGCACTACACTAGTAGTCACTACTGTAGGTCCAGGGCAGTGGGCCAATGAGGCTGAACGGCATCATCCAGCTGTAACTGGGGTGTAGTTTCTCTGCGTGCTCTAATGCCAGTAATGGTCGACTTGTGGCTTCTGGCCTTCAATCATTGTTCTTGCACGGGACCTGCTTCGCATACCCTGTGGTTCACTCGTGTTGGCAGGCTGTGATGCACAGTGGAATCCTTGATATGGCACTCGGTCTACATGTATGTTGTTGCACGCGACAATATTGCTAATGATGCCGTGATGGGCTTTGGTGTGATGCTCTGAATAGACGTACCATGAAAGCCTCTTGATTGGTCTCCGCAGTACATTCGCTTGCCTGGCTCGTTTTTGTCGATATTATCCACTGTTGCAATGGAGAACTTTGCGTGAGGTATCTCACTGTTCATTCCGAGCTCTGATTTCTTATCAATGATGGCCTTTTGATATCGCTTGTAGGAGTCGACACCTGCTGTTGCGCCGACTCAAGCTAGTACTCGCATGAGCTCGCTGGAATTGCTATGTGCATCCACGGCCACAAAGTCCGAAAGAACAAGCTGGAAAGGGTAAGTGCATGCTGGTGTGCTTGCATGCATCATGCATGATAGCACAAACAAGCACCTGATCCTCTTTGCACGGTGGTTGGATGCTTGACTTCCTTCTGACTTTGATTGGCCGTACATCATCAGCCAAATGTTTTCCCACAACTCACTGTCCACACTATCCACCACTGCGTCCAGCTTCATTTCCGACAGTGAAGTTAGAACGTTATGCTCTTTGTGTTTGAATTCTTGTGCTTGACTTTTGGTTTGTGAGTGCATTGCAGCCGACAGCTCTGACACGAAGGATGATGGGCCACTGGGTTGGCTTGTGTGCAGTGTGTGCTGGGTTTCATTTTGTGCTCTGTGTTTCAGGGTCTCGGATCGTGCAACGGCGAGGGAATGGTATAAGCACAGAACTGTGTCACACCATGTACGGTACAGGAGCGTACCTCGTTTCTTACTGGTACCATATGACCCATGGCTAAGATGAGCGCCAAGCTTCAAAAAGGCTGGACAGTAGCCACCGGTTGTTGCAGTTGATGGATGGTAAAGAAGAGGTGAAGAAATCAGCAGCCGTTGCGAGAAGAAGAGAACGGTTCTCGAGGAATGCAAGACAGACGAATCTTGCTGTTGCCAGCAATGCGGACTCCTCGGGTGAGGTGCACTGGTGCATTTCGTCTGTTATACTCTGCATCAGGCTCTCCAGCTTGAAGTCAGTAGTCTGACTGTCCACCATATCCAGTTGGCCTTTATATGGCTAGGCAAAAAAGCACTATCCGCGGTGGCCGTAAGACCACGCTCAGCGTGCAGCTGACGTTGAACAGCTGCGACGTTTGGACATTTACGCTTAATTACCACCCCTTATTTGTGCGCTCCACATGGTGCATGTGGGCCTGTTGCTGTCATGTATCTGCATGTTATGCCGGTTGCAGAGACCCGCTGGCTGATCGTTTAAACTGCTTGTAATGAAAGTCTACTGCTCTCCTGTTTGTAATGAAACTGTGACATGCCGTGGCAAGTCACAACCATCTCTTCCGCACCGCTACTGTCTGGAATGCCTTGCCCGCAGACCTGAGAGCCACAGCCTCGCAGTCCCTGTTTCACAGTCACATTTGCACGCACTTCTCTGACACCAAACACAATGCCACTCCTCACTGACATGCCTCTGTCCTCCTTCTTTGAGCGTTGCGCTTATTCTTATTAATTTTTGTGTTTCTGTTTCGGTACATTTCGTATTTCAAGGCATATCCCGAGGCTATAGGTATCATTGAGTAAAGGACCATTCTGGAACATTCAGCATAATTGTATTTCTCTTGCTAGGCTGTTCATTACGAATCATTAGCCCTCCACTGTCTGCTATCTCAACCCTACAGCCTCCCATTATAATGGAACTCCCTTCAATTTAGACTACGTCTTTGGGAAATCCTCAAATATATAATTATAATAATAATAAAAAAATAATCTACTGAGCAGTCTGGTGTTGTTGCGAGTACGGGTACAGGTGTTGGTGGTGGTGGTGCTGCTGCTGCTGCTGCTGCTGCAACATGCTGTGCAGGCATTGCTTCTGTAGGCTGCACGTTGTCAGTGACAGGCATTGGCTCTGCTGAATGATTCATGAGCCTTTTCATGCATTTCTTGCAGATGCATGCATTTCGTGGTATTGTAGGATGATGTGCATATTCCCAGCATTGCGTGGTCTCGGGGTGGGCATATCTGCCATCAAGGGGAACATCTTGGCAGGCTACACATGGTCCGCATTGCCTGTCAGGATGCAATTTCGAGCCCTGGCTTTGGCGGCCCATTTCGACTTGGTCACAGTGCGGACACTGGTGGTTTCTTCCTGGCCTATAGCAACACCATCTGTCCGCCCATTCGCGTAGTTTTATCAGAGATAGAGCCTTGCAAAATAAGACGGCCCACAATCTCCTGCGACGTTTCTACGAAATGGGAAATTGAGAAGAGAAACAAAAAGGCACCGCAACGACGTGAGATGTCGAATATCGTGATGCACTTTCGAAAAATGTGCTCATCACTCACCCTTCTAACACGATAACGGCGCAAAAGCAATCGATATAGGAGGATAAGCCTGTATTCTCAAGGTAACCAATTGTCGAAAATTGAGAAGAATTCGGTATGTCACTAAATTCATCTTCAAATTTCCCGCGGTTGCAAATAAAAGTGCAACTTTTAGACGACTTTTTTGAACTTGGCGCACGGACTGAATATACAGTGTTTCGGGGAATTCACCCCTCATCAGTTGAGCTTGAGTAGGCTGAGGAAGATTGTGCCTGAAGAGCATCATTAATATAGTGCTCTCCAGGCGCAAACATCACCAGGGATACACACTTACAGAGACGCTCCGTTTCCAGCGCGACAAACACCTCGTGAACACCAGATAGCAGCGTGAGTCAGTGTCGCTCCTGGACGGTGAGAAGAGACGTCGAGGACCCTCGGTCGTTCACAACGCTGTCACCTCCAAACCAGCTAGTCGCAAGCCTACGCTGGGAACAGCACTGTGACAACAGTACGACAATATAATCCAGTCTAGTGTTGCGACTTCAGCGACGATTGTTAGTAAAGAGGATGCTCAGTTGCTCACCACACTGGGGCTCGCGCAAATCCGCCGACTTGACTTGACAGCTGACGGCGAAATGGCGTCAGAAGGTGCAACAGTTAGCACAATACTGACTGATGTGATACTGAAACTCAACGACCTGATAATAAACTCTATCACGTCTTGGATGCGAAAACCAACAGCCTTCCAACTACTTGGAAGGTTCTAAGTTATGAGATAACACGAGAAAGGGGAAGGTGAGCGCACTCAAGACGAAAACAAGCTAAACATCACGGCAAACTAAGAATGTTGCACATCCAAGAATCCAAGACGTGATAGAGCTTATTATCAGGTCGTTGTGTGTCAGTATCACATTAGTCTGTATTGTGCTAGTTGTTGCACCTTCTGACTACTACTACTACTACATGTAGTACTAGTACACAACATCTTGCTTATAGCTGTTAGTAGAGTAGTTCCGCACTACGTAAAGTTGAGCAACTTTACGTTAGGGGGCGGGAAAAACCCGTGAATTCGCGAGTTTGCACTTCACTTACGGAAAGTTGTCTACGGAGAGTCAGAGTACGTAGATAGGGCTCTGATAACGTAGCTGTTCCGTTAAAAGTGCCTATAGCTATTCATACTACGTTTCAATACGCGTCACGTTTTGGAATACGACGTACTAGCAGACGTCGTTTTCATGCAGGTGCATTCACACAGGCACGTATACGCTTTTCGTACAGCTGTGCACACAGCTTCTTTTGGACACAAACAGCTGGAACCGACAAAACGAACCTCGGCACAGGGGTCTGGATACGCCGTCTACGTTTTCGTATCAGGGGTACGATTTTCCCGCCACGTTCCATGTTGGCATGGCTATCCGGACGAAAACGTCACGTACGCCACGTTTTGGGCGTAGTGTGAATGGCCCATAAGTGGTTTGGGGTACAAATTTATGACTCTCTCCCCAGGTCGATCCGGTCATACACTGCCGCGTTCGGAGTTGCCAAGGGCAGCTACGTGATTTGAAAAGTCCGTATGGCGGAACGCAGACGCGCATGCAGTTTACGTAAAGACTTTCCGTAAATCGACTACGTTTTTTACTAACGTAATTACGTTATGCGGAACCTCTCTAGTGTTGGACACAAACTACGGATGACATCATAGTAGTGAACTACAGTAACTTTTGGTCCTTTCCTTTAAATTTAATCCTTGGCTCTCCATCCGAGTCATATCGGATTAATATTGTCCAATCTGCGGACAGAACCGTTTCGTCCATTGTGGACTCTTCAGCGCAGCACAGAGAAAATGAGGCTGACAGCAATGAAAAATAAAAATTTCCAAAGCCATGTTTAAAAAACGAGTTAATTATTGTCTACATAAGCGTTTCGGAGATAACAACCTCAATATCGCAACCAAGGTGACAAACTGTGCGGTAACCTTTCTTTCATTGGCGACCAGGAAACTACAAAAAGTAACGAACACGTGAGGGATAAACGTGAAATAACAACATGTACATGTATGTACACGTGAGGGATAAACGTGAAATAACTAAATGTACATGTATGTACTTTAGTACACGTGAGAGATAAACGTGCAATAACTACATGTACATGTATGTACACGTGAAAAGAAAACTGTTCAAAACCGGGCATGTGTGTGGGATAAAAAAATGATATCAGGGTACAGAGCTGTAGCAGAGCTGTGAGACTGGCAACTACATTTGTGACATGGGCATCCCTCCTCTCTTTCTTATCCTTACAGGCATTCTGCTGATTCATGTAATCCAGAGACCACCATAGTCCATAGGAGAGGTGACAGACTATGTTTTTAGAGCATGCAATGCGCGTGCAGTGCACTCAGAGAGAGAGAGAGAGAGAGAGAGAGAGAGAGAGAGAGAGAGAGAGAGAGAGAGAGAGAGAGAGAGAGAGAGAGAGAGAGAGAGAGAGAGAGAGAGAGAGAGAGAGAGAGAGAGAGAGAGAGAGAGAGCGAGAGAGAGAGAGACAGACAGAGTGAGAGAGAGAAAGAGAGAAAGAAAGAGAGAGAGAGAGAGATAGAGATAGAGAGAGAAAGAGAAAGAGAAAGAGAGAGAGAAAGAAAGAAAGAAAGAGAGAGAGAGAGAGAGAGAGAGAGAGAGAGAGAGAGAGAGAGAGAGAGAGAGCGAGAGAGAGAGAGACAGACAGAGTGAGAGAGAGAAAGAGAGAGAGAAAAAGAGAGAGAGAGATAGAGAGAGAAAGAGAAAGAGAAAGAGAGAGAGAAAGAAAGAAAGAAAGAGAGAGAGAGAGAGAGACAGAGAGAGACAGAGAGAGACAGAGACAGGCAGACAGGCAGATAGGCAGATAGGCAGACAGATAAAACAGACAGAGAGAGAGACAGAAGGAGAGACAGAAGGAGAGAGAGTGTGTGTGTGTATGTTAGAGAGAGGGGAAGAGTGTGTGTGTGTGTATTGTATTGTATTGTATTTATTTAAAAGGATTCTCCAAAAGCAAATGGATGCTTATCACGGAAGTCTCCCACATAAATATCGCAAGAAAAATGGGGAAATGGGGGAGAGGAGAGTGGAAGATGAAGCATGGGAAGAAGGGAAACCTGTACCTAAATATCGAGGTATAAAAGCAGGAAAGAAATCGACGAGGGAAGAAATCACCTCTGCAGATAATAGCGGGACATTTAGATGAAAAAAAACCCCAGCAAGGATTAATTTCAAGGAAAAAATATTTCTCAAACGGAAAAGTTCGGAATTCCAGTCAGAGAATATCTATGCTGTGAGTAATGAGCTTTTAGAGCAATGCGAAAATTGACAGAGGACTGAACGCAGCGGATGTGTTCTGGAAGTTTGTTCCATTCCACAGATAAACTGAAGAGAGGGGATTTAAGAAAATGGGCGCCAGATAGGCCTTGACGGATTATGCTAATATTTTCGTGAAATTATGCTTTTCGCATTGCTGAAAAAATTGGAGAATTATGCTATTTTTATGCTAAAAGTTATCATATTATGCCGCATTATGCTCACATATGCTGCTAATGTATAATGGTTCTGTGCAAAATAACAAGGGAATTTTTTGTAGAGGGCGTTGTACAGTGTAGTTGCAAAAGTTCAACGGGGTCAACGCACCGTCCGACCTAGCTACGACCATCACTAATTGTAGTGGACTGGACATGTTATCAAGGGAGTCGTAAACCTACAACTTCCTAGTGCATCTAGTCTACTTGTACTTGTACTTGTAGAACATGATTGTACAACTGTATGGAATTTGATGCGAACAGGCGGATTATTACAATTTTATGCGATTCTTATGCAATTTGCCTCGAATTATGCGATTATTCGATTTTGGTAGGAATTATGCGAAAAATTATGCTAGCATAATCCGTCAAGGCCTAGCGCCAGAACGAGGTAAAACTATAGAGGACGGGTGACAACAACTAAGGGATACATTGAATTTGAAACGAATTAGCGTGTGCACGCGCGCGCGTGTGTGGTGTGTGTGTATGTATAAATGTATGTGTGCGTGTGTGAAAAATACCAAAAAAGTAGGGATTCACTGGCCAGAAGTTGTGTGGGGGGAGGTGTAGACCACGCCGAATAGTGGTGGTCAATTCGTAAGCCTTGCAAGCTGTTGAATGGTGCAACCCCAGCACAAGTTTCTATGGCTTCTGCTGTAAACGATGGGCGTCAAGTGGTCAAAATTAATGGTGTGCGTGTGTGTGTGTGCGTGCGTGTTTGTCCGTGTGTGTGCGTGCGTGTGTGTGTGTGTATGTGACTGCCTCATCGCACACACGTATCGTACTAGTAATAGTAGTATTTTTTAGAGCTATCGGGACGAGTGGTGTACTAGCAGCAGGTTAGAACATCGAC